GCTAAGGATAACAAAAAAAAAAAAACAAGACTCTATAAATACCATGAAAATAACACCTCGTAGGTGAGAAAAAACTTCAAACTTAAAATTGTAAGTAGGTCCTTTAACTGCTAGCTACTGATGACCTCAGCAAGAAAAATCTGGAAAAGCATGATTTATTAATAAACACAGCCCAGTTACTGAAATCCTCATGTTGCTCACTAAATGTTACTCTTTGTATATTACCATAAACAAAGATGAAATTACTATCCGTATCAGTGGACACAGAATTCATTTTCCATCCGTGACCGAGTCTGCTCAATTGTGGTTACATTCCCATTTTTTATGAGCGATGACATGAATGTTAGATGGTTAGGCAAATTTGGAAAGTTTTCTTCAGTCGAGTTGAACTAGCCTATCTGAAGTTTGGGCCTCATCAGTACCACGTTTCAACCACCCGAGCAACAGTCACGACACTGACCATGGTACTCATCCTGGCCCACGCCTCAGCGGGAAAGACGACTGCTTCACGCTAAGTGAAATACAAACATTAGCTGAAAACACCTAAAAACATCTGGACAGAAATCGCACAGGCAGTCAGCAGAACTCAGGACTCCCATTTCCCAGTCCACACCTCTTAGGTATGCCCATGGGAGCCCAGTACATTCTTATGTTTTATCTATTATTTTTAGTTAACATAAGTTTACTTGTTGTACTAAACGCTCTCAAAGTACTAGACACACTGTGCTAGATAGTAACATACTCGTACATCATGTCAAATTCTCACAGGCAGTGCTGAATACCTAAGCATCACAATTAGGCTGCATCATCCAGCTATACCGAGCATAGAAACACATCAAATGTGGCTTGTCCGGGGCCACACAGCGAAGTGACAGGCAGAGCTAGGACCAGACCCAGGGCTGCCTGGTTCTGAAGCTCTTTCCACTATAACACATAGAAGAGCCAAAAAATCTTAGAATATTAGATGTGGAAGGAACCCTATCTAATGTCTGCCTTTCACTGAAAATCTACAATGTGCCATGTGTTCTAAATATCTTACCTCATCTTACCACTATGGAGAAGTGATAGTTTGGGAGGAAGAAATATGATCGGAGAAGAGACTTGTCCAAGGCCGCAGGCTGGTAAACACCTAATCTGAGATTTCAGCTGGGGTATAATTTAACTCTGAGTTGGTGCTCTTTTGACCAAAACCCCGAGGAAATCTCAATGATCCCTGAATATTCAACAATGCAACAGCACGCCATTTTTAGAGGAAACTGCAATGGGCTGAGTATGGGTATCAGAAGCTTATGGTGCCACTAGACACACACAATTCCAGAACTAGAAGAGATTAGAGATCCTCACCATGTTCATAGCTAGGACAAATTAACATCATTAAAACATCCATACTACCCCAAGCAATCTATATATTCAACACAACTGCTATCAAGATACCAATGGCATATTTCACAGACCTGGAACAAATGCTCCAGAAATGTGCATGGAGTCAGACCCCAAACATCCACAGCAGTCTTGAGAAAGAACAAAGCTGGAGGGATCACACTCTCTGACATCAAACAATACTACTGTATGAGGCCACTGTAATCAAAACAGTATAGCATAAAAACAGACATATAGCTCAATGAAACAGACTGGAGAGCCCAGTTATAAACCTATACCTTATGGTCCATAAATATTTGAGAGAGGAGGCAAGAACAGACAATAAGGTAAAGATAGTCTATTCAATATATGGTATTGGGAAAATGAGACAGATACATGCCAAAAAATGAAATGAGACCACCTTCTTACACCATACACAAGGATAAACTCAAAATGATTAAAGACTTCAATGTTACTTGAAACCATAAAAATCCTAGAAGAAAACTTAGGCAGTAAAATATCAGACATTTCTTATAGCAATATTTTTGCCAACATGTCTCCAAGGGCAAGGAAAACCAAGAAAAAAAATAAACACATGTGACTGCATGAAACTAAAAAGCTTCTGCATGGCAAAGGAAACCATCAACAAAATGAAAATGGATCACACTGAATGGGAGAACATAGTCACCAATGGTACATCTGATAAAAGGTTAATTTGCAAAATATATAAAGAACTTATACAACTCAAGACCAGGAAGACAATCCAATTATTAAAAAATGAGCAAAAGACCTGAATAGACACTTCTCCAAAGAGGACACACAGGTGACCAATAAACATGAAAAAATGCTTCTATGTCACTAATCATCAGAGAAATGCAAACTAAAACCACAATTGCATACCACCTCACACCTGTCAGAATGGCTGTCATCAATAAATCAACAAACAAGTGTGGAGAAAAGAAAACCCTGGTACACTACTGGTGGGAATGCAGATTGGTGCAACCACTGTGGAAAACAGTATGAATTTTTCTCAAAAATTAAAAATGGAACTGCCTTTTGAATCAGTGGTGCCACCTCTGGGTATATATCCTAAGAATCCAGAAACCAATTCAAAAGACCATAAGCACCTTATGTTCATTGCAGCATTGTTTACAATCGCCAAGGTCTGGAAGCAGCCCAGTGTCAGTCAGTAGATGAGCGGAAAAAAAGCTGTGGTACATTTACACAATGGTATACTGCATGGCCCTAAAAAGATTTCCTGTAGGAAATCTTGCTTTTTGCAATAGCATGGATGAACCTGGAGAGTATTATGGTAAGAGAAATAAGCCAGTCAGAGAAAGACAAATGACTATACTTGTATGTGAAATCTAATGAACAAAATTAACTAACAAACAAAACAGAAATACACTAAAAAATAAAGAACAAACTGACAGCTGTCACAGGGAAGGATTTGGGGGGTCTGGATGAAAAAGGGGAAGGGATTAAGCAAAAAAAAAAAAAAAAAAGAGGGGAGGGGAGAGGGAAGGAGGAAGGAGGGAAAGGGCCTCATAGACAGTATGGTGGTTACCAGAGGAAATGGGGTAGGGTAGGGTGGGGTGGCATTAATGATAATGGAAGGAGACTCGACTTGGGCTGGTGAGCAAACGATAGTGTACAGGTGCTGTATCACAGAATTACAACCCTGCATCCTACATAATTGTACTATCCAATGTCACTCCCAACAGATTCAATAAAAGATGTTTTTAATTTAAAAATAAAAATGATTAGAGATCTTAGTGATGTACTCAAGCCCTATCATTTTGCAGATGAGAAAACTGAAGTTCAGAGAGGTTGCAAATCATTCTTGAAAGAAGAATTTGCAGCAACAGGGAGAACACTGCAAGGGCATTCCAGGTGAAGGGGAGACACTGAAGGAAAGCACAGCACAGAGGTCAAAACAAGTACAATGAGAGCGCCTGAACTTGAACAATACAGGTAACACCTACTCTTTAATAAAGAAAAAAAATAAAGAACACTTCCATTATGGTGAGTGGCCAAAGGTCATGCTTCTTTTGTTAAAAAGTTCTTTAAAAAAGGTTTTAGCCAATGTTCCTATTTTCATCTAATACCTATTCCTATTATCATACTTACCGTATTTAACCTTATCTAAAATTTGATATGAATCTCTGTGGCCAGAATGTTTTAACTGTGTTTGCTGTCATTGCTGTTTCCGCACTAAAGTATGTGAACTTGGATTTACACATTTGTCTAGCCAATGTCTTCTCGCCCAAAACTTATTTTGCTGTTTTAAAACTTTTATTTCATTTAAACCCTCTGGCTTGAAACACTTAAAGCCTAAAGGCAAAATTAAACAAACCTGTGCAGAAAACTCAGAGTTTGCAGTTATTTTTATTTTACTCCAAAGAGTACCAACTAAACCACAACAATGCAAAGAATGCAGCCTCCAACAGTAAAAACATGGTGATGGCATTAATTAATATGATATAAAGTAATGCTGGTCACAGATCAAAAATTGACTTCAAGAGCCTGAGTTTCCGTAAAGAAAACTTTAATAAATTCTTCTCAAGGTAAAAGGTTCAGAGTAAAAGGTTTTTAAACACTTTAAATACTTAAGAAGTTTTATTTACTTGTAACAAATGCTAAAAACAATTTACACATTTAATTTGCTTATGTGGGTTGTGTTATAACAAAGGAAGAAAAATGAAAACTATTTTAAAACTTTCTGAAGTCCAAGAAAGCACTTTACTCACTAGATTCAGGCAGACTTCCAAAACTGGGACACTCCACACGCAGGTGCAGCAGGGAGTGTGTTAATGAAGTTAGGGCTGGGAGACTGACACACTAGAGAAAAATCAAGTTTTCCGTTTCTGCATCAAGCACATGCAGGGGGCATTAAAAAAATTCTCTACAATGTCTCAGCTGGAACTGACTGCATTACTTCTAGTGGTCTGAAAAACTGCAGTCCTATCTCAAGCCCTATCTGACCAGCAGGCACCAGTCCTGAAGCAACTGGGCCTAGTCCAGAAGCTGGGAGCAGCAGGCCACAGAGGAGGTGCCTAGGAAAGATGATATGTCAAGTGAAAATAAAGGAGGGACAAGCTAGAAGTCCCCAGGGGCCAGAAAAGTGGGATGGGGGTGTGGGGCTGTGGGGGTGTGTGGTGGCGGAATGGGTGGTATGAGAGAAAGAGTACTAAATGTCGGAGAACAGATAAAGGGTTCCTTCAAGTGCCAATTCACCCCAAAAGAGGTGATGTGGATGGTGCAAAAGCAGGGTTTGGGTCCTGAATCCAGCAGGTGTAAGACAAGCCCCATTTCACTGATGGGTACAGTGAGTCTGGAATTCCAAATCAAGTCCCCTAACTACTGAGAAATACAATCAACAGTAAACTGTGAGCCCCTGAATTAACCTGGGATCCCTCACCCGCCCAGCAACTCTCAGCACTAGGCACACGAGTAGGAAACAGCTCTGAATGAATGTCCCAAGACGTGAAACTTCAAGCTTCTTTGCAGAAAACTTGGCTTCAGGCCAGACAACACTGGGGTCGGGGATGGGAGAAACCAGGCTGAGCGGGTCCGGGGAAGGTCGGAGGTTTGGGGTCCCAGTCCGAGCGCTGGCCCTCTGCCGGCCCACTGTCACTCACCCGGATGCCCTTCACCACGGTGATGTTCTCGTTCTCGTCTGCCTCGAAGGTGACCCGGCGGGTGCTGGAGGTCCCGCCCATGGCTTCTTCTGTCCTCGCAGAGTCCTAGCGTGGACTCGCGAGTACCTCAGGCCCCACGCACACTGACACGCGTGGACGTGCCCGGACGTTTGCCTGGCAGAGCGGGAGCAAGGCCACGACCCCAGGTGGCAAGGAGAACCGCCGGTCTTCAGTTCCCACCTCCTCCGGTCACGCTCCACAACAAAATGCCTCTGGTTGGTGGGAGGTACAAATGGCCCGCCTCCACTCAGCAGGAACACCGGGATTGGTTGTCCTGGACCCGGATGCTATGGCAACAGCTGGTATTTGACAAGGTTTCCGGAGGCCCTAGGTATAGTGGGAATTGTAGTCTTGATCTGGCGCCAATAGTGGTGGAATTTACTTGCCTTAATCTAGCGGGCACAAGGGGAGCATGGCATTCTGGGAGTTGAGATTCTTCGCCGTCGGAAAGGGTCAACTTTCCAAGTTCAGTCATCCAACAAAATGTGCTTTGAAGATAGTATAGAAATTTAGTCTAGTAAGTTAAAAAGTACAACCTCTCCAGCCCTGCCTAGTGTGGCTCAGTGGAGTGAGCATGCTGCAAACCAGTTGCTCGTTCCATTGCTGGTCAGGGCACAGGCCTGGGTTGTGGGCCAGGTCCCTGGTTGGGGCCACGTGAGAGGCAACCACACATTGATGTTTCTCTCCCTCTCTTGCTCCCTCCCTTCCCCTCTGTCTAAAAATAAATAAATAAGATCTTTAAAAACTATGTTAAAAGAAAAAAGAAAACTACAACCTCTCTGAGAGGAACTCACAGTTTCAACAAGAGATGTACTTTCTTTCCAACTGGAGCCATTTCTAGATTTCCATAAACAAATCCCTGAGACTAAATTTAGTATTTCTTCACTTCAGCCTCAAACACCACCTCTCCCTGGCCCCCCCCAAAAAATCCATTATATTTGGCCTATGATTTTATCTCATGAACTATGTACTGTTTCATCTCTTTCCTGTAAAGTAAAATTTTAAATACCATGGTTTTCAAATCCGAAAATAAGAAAACAGGGAGGATAAACTATTTGCAACAAGCATGCAGAGCACGCTTTCATGTCTCCTTCCACCTTGGTTACCTAAAATAGTTAGGCCCTAGTAGGGATGGGGCAGAGAAAAGTTAAGTGAATGTCCAAGAGAGCATCGGTTAGAGGAGGGGATTACAAGTACATCAAACAAAGGTGAGGATATCTATTTTGGAAAGTTTTTAGTTCACCTCTACATGGCCAGCAAATAAATTTAAGTTATCTACATGAACTTTTTTTTTTTAGTAGCCCTGGTGAGGTAGCCCAGCTGGTTGGAGCATCGTCCCCATAAGCCAAGGTTGTGGGTTGGATCTCCTGTCAGGGCTCCTGCTAGAGGCAACCAATCAACACATAAAAATGTGGAACAAGAAATGGATGTCTCTCTCTTACCAATAAATTAAAAATAAAAATATTTTTGATAACTTTTCTGTGACGTGTTAATTTAGCCAAATGGTCTTAGTCCTACAGAAGCATATATATTTTCTTTAGAAATTAGGTTAACGATGCTACTGTCAACGTAAGAAATGTCCAAACCTGTATAAATTTTTTAATGACTTTATTTGAGCCAAACTGACAATTGCCAGGAAGCAAACTGTTTGAGAAAGTGCACTAGAGAATGGCAGTTTGGCAGTTAATTTTATACGTTACAATCAAAGGAGAAGGCGCAAGAAGGGCGACATGGAATTTGTTAGTGAGAGATCAGGGAGGTAGGAGAAAGTGAAGTGAGAAAGTCTCTGAGACTGGATGAAGAATAAAGTGAGACAAATACTTCTTTTACATTGGTGGGTACAGGGCCATTAACAGTTAACGTTCACAGCGCATGCAGGTGGCAGGCGGGAGAACAAGGTGACAGTGAGGGGTTCTGTAGTCTCCTGCCCTGCTGGGAGGTTGTGTCCTGAGGGATCTGGAATAAAGGGATTACTCTGCCATTCCAAAGATGTGTTATCCTAGATGCAACAAGACAGCAGACAGGCCCAGTTAAGTTCAAGATTGAAGGGTTTGTCAAGGAAGCTACAGGCCTGGGATAGGACTACCCGCCATGATTTGCTCTTAGGAAGTTTTCATTGCAGACCCTCCCATGTGGTTACTTTGGTCTCTGAGTTTGTGGGACCTGCTGCGCAGACCTCCCCAGGGCTTGTCGGGTTAGCATACAGCCCCTTTTTTTGGTCAACATTTCTCTGCTTTGTTTCTGGATGGCACTTTGTCTGTTTCCACTGGAATGTAAAACTCACTGTCCCATAATAAGTGTCAACAAGAATGCATTATTAAAGCACAATAATATTTTATGGTTGTGGGTAAATACATTCAAATGGAAGGGAATTTGTCCAAGAGGAAAAGGAAGCAGGAGAATGACATGGCCAAAAGCGATGACCATTTAATGATTGCCTACTGTTTACCAGGTATTGCCCTGGTACCTTTGAATACATTAACCCTGAACTTCTGAAGAGCCTTCTGAGGAGGCCTCCCTGAGCTTATGTGGTACCTGTAAATGATGCCCCTCGCATTTCCCCAGGATCCATGGCTGGTTGACCACCCCCCTACCTGCACCACCAAGCTGCGGAACAGAATCGATGTGGTAGCTCTTCTCTCTGTGGGTTTATTTTACAATCAGAATGCAGCCCAGAGCCCTGGCTGCCATGGCCCCTTTTATGCCCACACTGCTATCTTCCATTCTTTTCAACATTAAAGAGCAGCTGCCACAACACAGCATGGCATCCTCTTAATCCATAGGTATCCACAAAAATGCAATAACATTTTTTACTTCCAATGAGGTGCTGATTTATTACTCTAGGTGTCTTTAGGGCAGAGACTATTTCTTTTTTATCTCTGTATGCCCAGTCAGTGGCCGAGTATTGAATTTACTGCATGTAATCATTTTGTTCTTTTAAACATACATAAATCCAAATTATATCATGCTATTTTTGCCATTTTGAGACTCTTTGTTATTTTGTATGGGTTCTCAAGTAGTGTGATATGTTTTTTAAAGATTTTATTTATTTTTAAAGAGGGAGGGGAAGGGGAGGAGAAAGAGAGGAAGAGAAACATCAATCAGTTGCCTCTCATAGATGCTGGGACCGAACCTGCAACCCAGGCATGTGCCCTGACCGGGAATCAAACCAGCAACCTTTCACTTTGTGGAACAACACTCAACCAGCTGAGCTGCACTGGTCAGGGCTATACAGTATATTTTTACCTTCCTTCTACAGAGAGGTAAATATCCCAGAAATTGTGTCTTTTGCTTCTTTGGGATGTCCCCTTCACAAACAACAGCTTCTGTGCCTATTACCCTGATATTATAATATTTATTGGAGTTTCTACATAAAACAGAACCTCAATAACTCCTCACCAAAATGACCAATTGCAAAAAAAGAGTTCCTTGGGAACTTCCAGTCAAGATGGAGGTGTAGGTAGACACACTCTGCCTCTTCGCACAACCAAAAGAAGGACAACAACAATTTTAAAACAAAAAACAACCAGAACTGACAGAAAATCGAACTGTATGGAAGACGGACAACCAAGGAGTTAAAGAAGACACATTCATCCAGACCGGTAGGAGGGGCGGAGGTGGGCAGCTGGGTGGAGAGGACTTGTGGTGAGGCAGTGGCTGGCGGACCAGGCGGTCCCACGTTCTTGCAGATAAACTGGGAGGAACAACTCGGGAGAGAGACAGACTGCACAACCCAGGGCCCCAGCGTGGGGAAATAAAGCCGCAAAACACTGATTGAAAACACCTGTGGGGGTTGAGGTGCCGGGAGAAACTCCCAGCCTCACAGGAGAGTTCATTAGAGACCCACAGAGTACTAGAATGTACACAAACCCACCCACCCAGGAATCAGCACCAGAAGGGCCCAATTTGCTTGGGGGAAGTGGCAGAAGGGACTGAAATCCAGCAGAGAGTGAAGCAAGCGCCATTGTTCCCTCTCAGAACCCTCCCCCACACACAACATCACAACCCAGCAACTGGGTTTCCCCACCCTGGTGAACACCTAAGGCTCCACCCCTCAGGTGTGCTGAAACAAAAACAAAAAAAATGGCCCAAATGAAAGAACAGATCAAAGCTCCAGAAAAAATACAGCTAAGCAATGAAGAGACAGCCAACCTATCACATGCACAGTTCAAAACACTGGTAATCAGCATGGTCGCAGAATTGTTGAATTTGGTCCTAAATTAGGTGAAAAAATGAAGGCTATGCTAACTGAAATAAAGGAAAATGCACAGGGAACCAACAGTGACAGGAGGAAACCAGAACTCAAATCAATGGTTTGGAGCAAAAGAAAGAAAGAAACATTCAACCAGAATAGAATGAAGAAACAAGAATTAAAAAAAATTAGGAGAGGCTCAGGAACCTCCAGGACATCTTTAAACCTTCCAACATCATAATCATAGGGGTACCAGAAGGAGAACAGGAAGAGCAAGAAATTGAAAACTTATTTGAACAAGTAAAGAAGGAGAACTTCCCCAATCTGGCAAAGGAAATAGAATTCCAGGAAGTCCAGGAAGCTCAGAGAGTCCCAAAGAAGTTGGACCCAAGGCAGAACACACCAAGGCACATCATAATTACATTACCTAAGATTAAAGATAAGGAGAGAATCTTAAAAGCAGCAAGAGAAAAGGAGACAGTTACCTACAAAGGAGTGCCCGAAAGTCTGTCTGCTGACTTCTCGAAAGAATCCTTGCAGGCAAGAAGGAGCTGGAAAAAAGTATTCCAAGTCATGAAAGGCAAGGACCTACATCCAAGATTACTCTATCCAGTAAAGCTATCATTTAGAATGGAAGGGCAGATAAAGTGCCTCCCAGATAAAGTCGAATTAAAGGAGTTCATCATCATAGGAAATGTTAAAGGGACTTATCTAAGAAAAAGAAGATAAAAAATATAAACAGTAAAATGACAACAAATTCACAGTTCTTAACAACCAAACCTAAAACAAACAAATGAAAAAAACAAACAAACTAAGCAAACAACTAGAACAGGAACAGAATCACAGAAATGGAGATCACATGAAGGGTTCTCAGTGGGAGAGTGGGTGGAGGGGGGGGAAGGTACAGAGAAAAAGTAGCATAGATGGTAGGTATAAGATAGACAAGAGGAGGTTAAGAACAGTATAGGAGATGTAGAAGCCAAAGAACTT